AAAACCTTCCCTGTACAGGATTGCCCTCAGACAGCTTGGGGGTTGGATAACTCCATACTCTCCAACATTTCTCCAATGAAAATAGGGACATCCTAAGGAAAAGTGGGGTCAAATCAGATACTGGGATGGTCCCTGGAAAATAGGGACACGGAGGGTCTGCTACTCCCCACCCCTGCTGCCCCAAATCAACTTGTACCACACAAATTAAGAGTAAAATATTTCCCCTTCTCCCAAAACATTTTACTGATGTACATAGTATCTTAACAAAAGGGGGGAAACCCCCATAATTGAATACATAGCATTTAGCATTTTCATGTACAAATAGCCACTGCTCAAAATCATACTCCAGCCAGAGATCAGTGCATATACAGATAACCTCATGCGCAGGGATATGATTACAGTATGGGTAACCCAAAGGGCCCGAACCTTGAATCTTTTATGTTGGGTCTCGGATCTCTTGCCTCTTTCTACTCACTTTTAAAACTTTTATTTTTCATTTGCTTACAAGGCAGCTAGGGGTTGTAACTGAAGTCTTTTTAGTATTTAGTATCTAGCCACTGAACAGGATTCTTATTTGCAACAAGAATGAGATAATGAAGGACAGGACCCAGAAACTACTCACTGTGTATGAAAACGGGACATTCTTTACCACCTAATTTGGTATGTAGGTTTTCCAATAACCTTGAGAGAAGAAGGTACGAACAGAAGAGTCGGATAAGCTTTGCTGATAACTGGCTGCTTTTCATTCTTGCTGCGTCTGAAACAAAATAATGTCCTTGTGGCATGGATAAACTATTTCTGTGGCTCTCTGTAGATACTGACGAAATAGAGCAGGGTCTGGTCTGTCTATGTAGTCTTGTCATACAATGTCCAGGATAGTGTCAAATGCCTGTTCCAAGAACGTTGTGACAGTATCGCAGGGCCACCACAGGTAAAATAGGGATTTCCAGTCTCTCTTGCACCAGAAACACAACAAAGTCATGAAGGAGTAAGGCGCTATGTCTGCAGAAATGACTTGTGCACTGCAGATGAGGTTGTCCTTAAAAATTGTTTCAGACTGGTTTCTGAAATGGAATCTCTTATGTGGCAGCTTCCCCCACAGTTCTTAACCCTTAACTGAGAGCCAGTGTGGTGTAGTGGTTAAGAGCAGTGGACTCGTAATCTGGTGAACTGGGTTTGCGTCTCCGCTCCTCCACATGCAGCTGCTGGGTGACCTTGGGCTAGTCACACTTCTCTGAAGTCTCTCAGCCCCACTCACCTCACAGAGTGTTTGTTGTGGGGGAGGAAGGGAAAGGAGAATGTTAGCCGCTTTGAGACTCCTTAAAGGGAGTGAAAGGCGGGATATCAAATCCAAACTCTTCTTCTTCTTCTTCCATATTGACCACAAAGCTCCAAATTATAAATAATGGAAACTAGGCCCTTTCTTCTAGAAGTAGGTCCTGTCCTCCCATTAGGCAAAGTGAGGCAACTGCCACAGGCAGCAGGTGCCGACGGGGCACAGCAGCACTCCCATGGCTGTTCTTCATAACCCCTGAACCCTTTCCTTTCTGTTGAAAGACAGAGGTTCAGCGGAGGATGTTATCCCTTCATTAGTGCTGAAATAAGATTCAGTTGTCAGTCCAGTCATCTTTTCATCTTGTCCCCTGCCTCAGGCAGCAAAATGTTTTGGGCCAGTCCTTCATGGAAATCATTTGTACACACAGATTCTGAAAAATGGTTAATGACCAAGCTACCTGGTGAGCACTTTGTAATTTGGATATGAATGCTCTTGCTTGGTTTTTCTGAGGCCAACTAGTTCTTTGGCTATTTTAGGCTTTGAAAGCGGATATAGAAAACAATGTCTTTAGTTCTCTAAATATTGCCTACAAAGTGTAATAGTCTGGAATGATTTTATATTGTGTTTTTATGTTGTGAACCACCCTGAGTTGTGTGGGTATATGGTAATAATAAATAGTAGTAATAAAGTCTAACCTTAACGTCCTGCAACTTTCCTTAGTTCACTGTTCCCTTTGAAATTGGCATGAAAATCTCAGAAGATCAGTACAAAGACTATGGCCCAATACTGGAGAAGCTTCTGGAAGACATACTTGTTGAAGGCAATAAAGGTAACATCTCCTCATTCAAGGAACCAGGGTTTTTACCCAAATTCACTCCACAAGTTATTTGGAGATCAACTTAAATAATAATAATAATAATAATAATAATAATAATAATAATAATAATAATATACCCCGTATAACACATTTTGAATATCCTCCCCTAACTACATCAGTCGATGCAGTGATAAAACAATGACATCAGCTGCAAAGGCAACTCAATGCATTCCCTGCTTTTGTACAAGCTGTAGGTTCCTTTCAATCTACTTGATAAATACCTCAGTTCTGTTTCTAGCCCAAGTCATCAGAAATTAAGGCTGCACACAAATGCGCATCTACATGGGAACAAACAGAACTTGTTTGAGTAAATTATGCTTAGGATCTAGTTGCACACCAACAATCCTAAATAGTTACTAGAGAATATTCCTCTTAAACAAGTGCTTCCAAGTAAATATGCTTAGATAGGAGGACTGTACACATGAATATTTTAGGATTATGCATTCAGAATAACTAGAAGGCCACCATGTTTTTCATTTGTAAATCTTGTGCATTTTCAAACCCATGTCATGATTTAATCATATTTTGAATGTATGGGACTTGTAATCTTTGTGGCAAAATGAACTCCAGCTGTTATCCATCACAATGGAAAACAAACCTATTTTTATGTTCCAGACTGGAAGTGGAGGTGGTGTAGGGGACCCAATACAAACCAAAGCATAAGGCTCAGGAAATCCTGTTGGCATCCCTGTAGGGTAGCACTCCTGCTAAAAGACAAAGTGTTCTATCAATGAAGTCACCCATTAATGCAAGAACTTCTGCTGATGCAACAAGACTTCCTATGTGCTTGTCTATATCTGCCCCAGTGGGTTGGAGAAACCCCCATAACTAAGAACAGATTTCAGAATTATTATTATTATTATTATTATTATTATTATTATTATTATTATTATTATTCTGAAGCTTTCTCTACCCGCTTTACTGCTATTGATCCCATGGAGTTAACACTTTATGTATGGGGACTATATATATATATATATATATATATATATAGCTTCTCATGTCTACCTTCATTCATATATTACTTGCTCTTGTAACAGGTAGAGCCTTGAAAGTCATTTTACATCAACATAGCTTTTTATATTAACTACTGCCCTGTTGACCTTTCAGAAAGCCAAGAAACACAGTGAAAAAACAGCTGAAAATCAAGATGCTGGAGTTAACATAACAACTTTACATTAGAACGAGTTTCATGCTTTGAATTCAACTGCTTCAAATCTTACTTTATGCTATCTGACATATCTAATAAATGCCTTTATTACAGAATGTTAAAAGAGTATCTGGCAACTTATTGGAAGATTCTGTGATGGCAAAGCTACAGAGCTTTTTAAAGAAATAAAATAAAATATGCAAATAAGAGGGTTAGCAGAAAGACTGTAATCAGGGGAAAGAGCTGGGAGACTAGAATGAATTTAGCTGGATACCATTGATTGCCTCATGCATTTGTTGCAGGAGAAAAGAATATCTGAGCTCGTGCTTATCAGTTTCTAAAACAGTGTGCAATTAAATTTAAGGAACTATATAACAGCGAAGCAAGTAACACATTCTTTCATCAAAGGAAGAACTGTGTTGACACTAGGGAATACAATTGCTACCACAAAAAAGGATGAGGCTTCCTGTTTATTAGCTATGATCTGGATCGCAGGCATAACTCTGCAAAGAATGACATTTTTTTGCTATGTTGCATGCATTTTAAAAAAGCAGGACAAGGGACTCCTAAATTCTACTTCAAGGCAATTGAGCCACATTAGCATATCATGCTAAACTATACTATGTCCCATGCAGACATGCTGTGCTGGTCCCGTGGGTTAACCGTGAAGTGAGGTCCGAGTCCAGTCTGAAGGCAATCCGACAAACCTGAAGCTGGGTCCAAGGCAGGGAGTCGGGTGAGGTCAGGAGAGCAGGACAGGGCGCAGGCAGGAACTGGCTACCAACAAATGTTGCTCCTGCAACCTGGGACTGGGGCTGGCTGGCTTTTATCTGCCCTGAGGCATAGGGCAGCCCGAGTCCACAGGTGACTCGCCTCTCCTGGCCTGGAGGCGAGCGCTCCTCCTGCGGGAACTTAGTTCCCTCCACCTCTCTGCCCTGAGCCTCTGCAGCTCAGGAGAGGCTGGAGGGTTACCGGACCCAGAGGCAACCTCAGCTTCCTCTGCCAGGGCTGAGAGTGGAGCACCTGCAGGCAATGGGTCCTCCATCACCTCAGGAGCCAGAGCAGACTCAGCTGGTGCCTGCACCTGAGGATCCAGCACAGGCGAGGACCCTTCAGGCTCAAGCCCCCGGCTTAGCTGGTTCTGGAGGCTGGGAATCCTGTGCAGGCTGGGATTCCTCAGGTTCAGCCTCCGAGTCCGAATCCCAGGCCATTACACATGCTAGCTCCTAAGAAGATTGCAGCCTGGGCTTTTTAGGTCAGTACAGCATGGCAGTGATTAAGGAGGAGAGACCTTAACTATATTTCTGGGTTAGAACACCACACTGCTAGCATTCTGCACTGCCCAAAAAGCCTGGGGGGGGGCAAGTTCCTCTTCGCCAAAAAGGGGGTCAAGTTCCTCTTTGCCAGGACATAAGAGCCTGCTGGATCAGGCCAGTGGCCCATCTAGTCCAGCATCCTGTTCTCACAGTAGCCAACCAGATGCCTGTGGAAAACCCACAAGTGGAGTCTTATCACAAGAACACACTCTTCTCCTGTGGTCTCCAACAACTGATTTCCAGAAGCATAGCGCCTCCAACCAGAGAGCCAAATCATTCATGTGGTTATAATAAGCCCAATCTGGGCTTGAGAGTTTCAAGGGTCAAACAGCTAAGTTTGTGCTCCGGTGGTGTTTTAAAGATAGAAAAGTGAGAGCTGTCTTATGACTGGAAAGGGAGAGCATGGTTTTATTGTTACTCCTGCATATAAACATACATACATCCACCTCACACACGTGTGCAGAAGGAAAAAGTTACTTAGAATGCTGTTTTCACAAACATTAGGAAACACTTTTAATAAAACAAATAGAAGTATATACAGAAGGACCTTTCCATATAACATGAAGACACTGCTGAACTGAAGGCAAAGGAAGGGCAGAGAACAACAATGTTTGCTTTCCATGTTATTGGTTGCAATACTTTAATTTCTTGCCCAAGAGTCATGTATACAACATGTATGAATATTATATAAAAATATGTTTATTTACAAGTAATTTTTTTTAAGTCCAAATAATACATAATAGAACAATATAGAAACATGGAATCATTTTTCTTTATTAAAAAGGAACCCACTGCAGAGGTTAAAACTGCCTAATTAAAACAAAAACAAATCATGGTTTCCCACAAAATAATCTTGAGAGCCTATTTCACTCCCTTGCTTTGTTTAATTACTTTGTGTGTGCTTCGGTTTCTGGAGAACACAGTGTATCTAGAGTAGCCTTCCTCACCCTAAGGCTCTCCCGATGCTGTTGGGACTCCAGCTCCCATCAGTCCCAGCCAGCATGGGAGTGGTGGTCCAACAACATGCAGATGACACCAGATTAGAGGTTAGATCTAGAGAGTATTTCACAGCCCTTTCAGTATCTCTGAGTTATTATGCAAATTCAGTTCAGTTTAAGGTTCTTGCCATATAGTTTATAGACATGCTTAGAGATGATCCTTTGTGCTAATGCATATTGGGGGGGGGGGGAATTACTATCATATACTGGTAATGTATGTCATTACTTCTTTGAGTATATTCATGCTATACCAAATGGAAGGTTTTCAACTAAGAATATATGGTATTGCAGTTACATGGACTGCAGCTTCAAGAGAAATAATCAGACAAGGCAAAGACAATTTAGGAGCACTTTCTTTTTTAAGGCTAAGCCTCGCCTTACCAGGGGTAGCCATCAGGGTCCACTGCCCATCATTCCTGGTCACTGGCCATGGTGGGGCTGGAGTTAATGGAAGTTGGAGTCCAACGTTTGGAGAGCACCATATTGACTACCCTGTACTAAGGCATCCCTGGCTTTCTCCTTTCTATTGGAAACTGGCCTTCTAAAAATGCTCAGTTATAATCTCCTTCAGATACATTAAAAAAAAGGAAATAAAAAATTTAAAAAAATCAATATGCTGACAATTTTTTGGCTGCCCAAGATAATTTAAAATTAAAAAAGAAAGCCACTCTTATGAATAAAATCAACACTAAGGCACCTTAAAAGGAAGGGAACAAATAGCAGAGGAGAGGGGAAGCAGCAGGAAAAGGTGTGAATTTTAAAGGACTGTGGTTCAATTAAGCACTTATTAATATTTTCCTTGTTTCCAGAAGTCACAATATCCAAGCTGGCCAACATTAATGTGCAAGTTCCAAATTTATATTTACATAAAAAGTATTTCCTCATCAACTCTTTTCCACACTCCCTTGTGCTTCCCTACAAGTCATATATTCTTTTTGTGTTTTGTCTTAGAATGCCTAACATGGCAGGCAATGACATTTCCTTGAGCCGAGCAATCTCTTTAACGGTGTGCAGAGCTACTCCTGGATGTGAATACTGGCATACAGTTTTGGGAACCTGGAAAAAGAAGAAGCAGAGTTTTAGGAGATAAGGTTATTGTCTGTATTTGTGCCTTCAATCTTTCACATTTAAACAAACTCCCATCCATCTTTGACTCCCTTATCTTTGAGTATTTCTGACCATGGGATCTCACCCAACAGAATCATAGAATGGTAAAGTTGAGACCACAAGGATCATCCAGTTCAACTCCCTGCTGTGCAGGAATATTTTGCCCAACATGGGGCTCAAATCCATGATCCTGAGATTAAGAGTCTCATGCTCTACCAATTGAGCTATGCCTCAGTAGCTCCTTTAGCTTTTTGAAATCAGCCTTCTTAAAGTCCAGATGGCACGTCAGACCTCCTGCAGCTGCTTCTTTCTTGTAGTTTCCTGCCCATTAACAGGTTTCTGTAGCACCGCCTCAGTTTTCTGCGCATCTATGAAGCTACTATCCCCAGTACCAGGTGTTTCCCTGTCATCTGTAATATTGTCTCCCTCCCCCTCAGGATTTACTTTAAGCTCTTCTGATCAGGTTTGTGAGATTCTTACCAAACACATTCTTGCCAACCACTATGAGGTGCAGCCTATCTCTTGCCAGAAGTCCTTCCTTGAGGAAATGGAGACCATGGTCCAAGACCCCAAACCTTTCCTGATGACCCCACCTGTGTGGGCAGTGATTGACTTTTGATATTTTCCCCTCTCTTCCTGGGCCATGACTTTCAACAGGACGGAGTGATAAAACCCCCCACGGCATTGCACTATATGAAGGGCCTGCTTCACCCTAAACCCTTAACATTTTCTTTCATAAAGGTAAAGGTACCCTGCCCATACGGGCCAGTCTTGACAGACTCTAGGGTTGTGCGCCCATCTCACTCAAGAGGCCGGGGGCCAGCGCTGTCCGGAGACACTTCCGGGTCACGTGGCCAGCGTGACAAAGCTGCATCTGGCGAGCCAGCGCAGCACACGGAAACGCCGTTTACCTTCCTGCCAGTAAGCGGTCCCTATTATCTACTTGCACCCGGGGGTGCTTTTGAACTGCTAGGTTGGCAGGCACTGAGACCGAGCAACGGGAGCGCACCCCGCCGCGGGGATTCGAACCGCCGACCTTTCGATCAGCAAGCCCTAGGCGCTGAGGCTTTTACCCACAGCGCCACCCGCATCCCTACATTTTCTTTCATACTACACCCTAAAACAAGAAAGGACATTATTTTAATGAAGTATCAATCAGCACACAATAAAGGGACAAAGGATTGCAACCAACCCCAAATAAAACAAAATACCTTACCTGCCTAGGAAGGAAATATGGCGCATCTGTTTCTACAACTATTCTACTTAAAGGGATTTTCTGAACTGACTCTCTAGCCTCTGTAGCAGATGGATATGTCAGCAGTGCTGTGAATCCAACAGTAAGATTTGGAAAGTAGTCCAACAATGGTTCTATGGCACTGTATCTGCCAGTAAAGCAATGCCTAAGATAGAGAGAAAACAATGGTCAACATACGATGGCCAACCAGCAACAAGAAAACAGTAATGCTGGCCATGCTAAAGACCACACAGCAAGCTGGACACAGAATGGTGGCTGCTATGTTGTTAATTTCTTCTTGGAATAAAAGCCACACTTCAGCTAAAATTGGTTGCGGAAGCTGCAGATTATAATTTTAATACTATATTCAAGGAATTACAGAATCTAATTTCAATGAAATAGAGACCTTTGAAGCATTCAAGTTATGTCTTAATTTTCACTTATGATTTTAGAATGCTGGTCTGAAAAATTAAATGGTAACTTTTTAAATAGAAAGGGAGATTTTATTTATGTATACACCGCCTTTTTCTCTGACAGGAAATCATGGCAGCTTACAGATAAAATAAGAACAGCTAAAAATGCTGGGGTGGGTGGGAACAATAATTAAAAAACAATTAAACACACAACACATATCTTTTTGAGATGTGTACTAAAAACATACAATCACAACACAAACTGCATGGCTCCAGCCCCCAAAAAGCAGCCAGTTCCCCAAAGCATGTTCGAACAAGAAAGTATTCACTTGCCAGTGGAAAGACAATGAGGGAGCCAGCCTAACTTCTTTAGGGTGGAAGTTCCAAAGTCTGGGAGCAGCCACTGAGAAGGCCCTCTCCTGCATCCCCACTAAGCATGCCTGAGGGTGGCAGGACCAGGAGAAGGGCCTCCCCCAAGGATCTAAGAACCCAGGCGGGCTTCTGCGAGGGAATACAGTGGTACCTCGGGTTAAGTACTTAATTTGTTCTGGAGGTCCGTTCTTAACCTGAAACTGTTCTTAACCAGAAGCACCACTTTAGCTAATGGGGCCTCCTGCTGCTGCTGCGCCACCAGAGCACAATTTCTGTTCTCATCCTGAAGCAAAGTTCTTAACCCGAGGTTCTAGGTTAGCAGAGTCTGTAACCTGAAGCATATGTAACCCGAGGTACCACTGTACATTCTTTCAGATTAGCTTGTACCTAAGCCCTCTAGGTCTTTGTAAGTCATAACCAGGGAATCACAGCCATACAGAATTTTAGGACCTCTGGCCTTCAGCTTCTTTTTAAAGTCAAGGATGGGTAGACTTAAAATTATTTAATACAATTACCTGTGTATCTTGTAGTCTTTGGGTACGCATTTTTTCATGATTTCCAACAAGTCATCATCAGCATCTCTGCAGTGAATTACCAATGGTTTCCTTAAGGAAACAGCAAGATTCAGTTGCCTTTCAAATACCTGAAGCAAGCAAGAAAGGAGTATATCTTCAAATGCTATTAGAACTGCCCCGAGAACAAAAATGTAAGATGTGCGGAAAACAATCTAGTACCTCACTCCACCACTACCATTTATAATCTTACTACTTTTATCAACACAGTCCATTTTGTTAGGGAGTGGGGGGGGGACATAAGAGAGAGAAAACTGTCCAGGAGCACATTTTCATTTATTTCATTTTAAAAGGCATTAAAGGAGTAGACTGGCTGTGCTTCAGTGTCAGTATTGTACATGATGCTGATGCAATTAGGAAACACCACATACAAAACTGAAAGTAATATGAATAATTTAACATTGGATAAACAGATCAAACTGTAGATACTGACATGTTCAATAGATTTCCACTCATGCAACAGCTGTTGCAGGAAATGAAGGCAATTTTTACCAGTTCCTCTTCCTTCCTGCAGCTCCCTAGCCACTGAACAGCTGCTCAAGAAAACTTAGGGACTCTTCAAAAGAGCCCTAGGGGGTTGCAAGGGGGGGAACCAGTAACTCTGGATCCAAGCCATTCAATTATAGTTCTGTGTCTACAGCAAGTTTTTCGAACACATTTTGTTGAGAATTGTTCTTTTGCAGCCAACTAATATTACACGTGATGATGCATTTTTCTTTCATTCTTCCTGCTCTGACCACTTACCTGAGCTTTTGACCAAACATTTCTGCTAGTAGGTTGTTTGCTACCATGCACCACTGCAATACTACTTTTGGATGTAGAAATCACATGCTGCTGAAATTCCAAAATACGGGATATGTCTCTTTTGCTAATGTATTCAAACCAAAGCCTATTACGAGTAATTAGATAACAGAAATGCTTAGAAATATTTGAGCTACGTATCACCCCTGTGTTCTAGGTCAACACTGCACATTAATACATTTAACCAGCACTACAAAAATGATTTAGCAACCAATCCTGTTATTCTGTGGATTGCAACATACTCCGAGCAATGGACTGGAAAGGTTTTTTTTTCCCAAAAGAAAGCTACTATCATCTCAACTTAGTGGGTTTTTTGAACAACTGCTTTACAACTTTACAGACCAATGACACCTTACAAAGTGAATGACTTGCTTCTTCACAAATCTTAAGAGACACTGAGCACAAAAAGTAACAGCACTCTCCTTTACCTTATGTTGCGTTGGGACCTCAGTGCTACATTTGTAAGAGTAATCCAACCCCATTTCTCCAAAGGCAATAGCTTTGGGGTGCCTCATTGCCTGTAAGATACTTCTTTCATGAAGGTCTGTGTAATAACGTGCAAAGTGAGGATGACAGCCAAATGCCCCCCAAACCATGTCTTCCTTTAATAAATCTTCCCATAAGTAGTTGTTCAATGTACGAGGATCACAAAAGTCAGCTATACATCCCTGAAATTCTTCAGGAAAGCTGCTACTGTAAGTCTTTCGAAACTTAGAAAAAGTACCCCTGAAAGCTGTCTTTGTATATAACATATCCAAATGGCAGTGGGTATCAATAAACCCTTCTTTTAAATATTTAGGCAGCTCATCAGGCAAATCCTGGTTTACACACTGATTGACAAAAGACTCTGACTTGCGAGATGTGGAGAAAATAGGAAAACATGATGCTACTTCTTTACTCCGTCGTCTGTTTTTCTCTTCATCGACCAGTTGAGAACCAAGTGACCGGGGCCTAACACGCATACAAGGTTCTTTATCCCTTGGTGTAGTTGATGGGCTATCAGTTGAGGTATCTAATGAAACATCACAAAGATGGGTGGCATATGAGGTATCTTCAGAAGAACATGAAAAAGAAGAACAATCCGCTGGCTTGCTGCAGCTTGTCCAATACTTTGTATAGTCACTCATTCTGCGATTGTACAAATGAGGAGGATACATCACCAACTCTGTTGCCAACTGTGAAGTCTCCACTGTTTTTGGCGTACTGTGGTTTGGGATAGAATCCTCCTGGGAGAAAGTACTAGGTGGTTCTGCATCCTCCATGTCAGACCAATCACTTTCAGCCGAGGACTCTCCTTCTTTCCCCATTAACTGCAAGTCATGAAATAAAATGAGAAAATCAATTTGGCTTGGTTATCTTGCATCTGATTAATTTAAATTATATGCAAGGGAAGATGACCAGGTCACAGGGGAAGACGACAAAAATACAAGAGGTATGCAGATTTTGTTTTTAAAAGAAAAATAGACATGGCTCTCCAGCTAATCTCTGTTAGGCCTGCCATGCCTATACTGGTTTATAACAAAAGTAAAGGAAGATATGAGGGATTTTTTGTATAATTTAAGGCAACAATATGTGAAAAATGCTTAAGAATTGTAACATGCCATCCAGACAACTGGTAGAAAATGCACATTGAAATAAAAGCATGTTAGTCTTGCAGTTTGTTATTCACAGAGAGCAAACACCACTTTATTTTGGATATTTGGTAGTCGACCACAAAAGGTAAGTAAAATTTGAGGATCACTGAAGACTTCTGTATTGATCAGCAATGCTATATGGGACACAATTTATTATTATGAGTGTCATCCAGAAAAGGCCACATGACATCATAAAAAGGATGAAATCAGTTTTGTACATTGCTACATGGCAACTTCTAAGTTAATGGAATTCAGAAAACTATCTCTTAATCCTGAATCATACAAACAACAAAGGTTGTATTTGTAACTACTATTTTGTCTTACATCCTGCACCTCTGAAAACCGCTACTAAACATTTCTACAACCATTTGGAAGGATTCTGTGTTTAAATAGCACCTTTTAGTAATTTAAATTTAAGTTTAGTTTAAGTTTCCTTAAACTACATTCTTTTCCTACTAGCTCAAGGGGGAATCCTTGAAGCTATCTTAAGGATTTCTCAAACTTTTGGGAATGTGTTTACTTTTAAGTGCTGGCTCTTCATTTGTGTGAAATCAATTACATTTCAGGAACATTTAGCTACGGTTTCATTTTGAAAACCTTATTCCACAACAGAATGCCTCACCTTCTCATTTACTTCTGAACTGTGGTCATCCACAAACACAGGTTTTGGAGAAGATTCCACAATAACTGTCCTCTGGAAATTCACAAACTCCTTTGCAGCAGTAACACAATGTGCATCAGATGAACTGGGGCAAACATATTTTTCTTTTGGCACAGTTTTCTGCTTTGTGAAGGTACTGTTGTATTTTGTCATAGTTTTCTCACTGCTGCAACCTTGCTTGAACAGTTCTTCACCTTCATACCTGGACACTTCAGACACACTTCTCAGCTGGTTTCCTGGTCTCCCATACTCCTTTTTAGATGGACTGGCACAGGCATTTTCATCATCAGTTTGACTTTGCTGTTTGGTGGACTCTTGCTTATATTTTTGTTCTCCTTCAACCAGTAAAAGGTGAGATGTGCTTTTAAATTTACCATCTGATCTGCAATGCTCTCTGCAATCCTTTTTTTTACTCCGTCCAACAGAAATGTTGGTGTCTTTTGGCTCCTTTTCCAGTTCTGGTTCATCTTCAGATCTTGATAATGCAGACCTTGATAATGTATACCTTGAGCTGCCCGCTGGTCTAGAAGCCTCTTTTCCACTATGCCTAGAAATAATGTTTTCTTCTTTTGCAGCAACTTTCTGAAAGGTCGACTCCTGCTTAACTTCCAGTTCATCTTCAAATCTTGTTAATGGATGAATGTGCCTTGAGCTGCCACCTGGTTTGGAAGCCACTTTCCCACTATGCCTAGAGGTTTTCTTTTCTTCTTTTGCAGCAGCTTTCTGGAAGACAGAGTCCTGTTCAACTTCTGGTTCATCTTCAGATCTTGATAATGCACGAATATGCCTCAAGCTACCCTTTGATCTGGAAGCCTCTTTTCCACAATGCCTAGAGATATTATGTTCATCTTCTGCAGCAGCTTTATGAAAGGTGGACTCCTGTTTAAAGTCTTTTTCTCTTTCTGAACTTGAAACTACAGATACACGTCTTGAGCTGCCATCTGACCCATGAGACTCTTTTCTATCCTGCCTGATAGAAATATTAATGTGCTCTTTTTCTATGGTTTTCAGACAGTTTGACTCTTTTCCAGGTTGCTGCTCTCCAAGTTTTGATGCTATTGAGGGACGTCTCAGGTGGCCAGTTGATTCAGATGCCACTTTTTTAGGAACGCTTTCTTCCAGGGTTCCATTTGGAGGTGCCACCTCCCTTCTAGGTCGCAGTGGTCCCCCAAGTATAGCAAGCAGAGCTTTGCGGTATATTAGTCGAGATCCTTGGTCCTGGTCCTTCATTCTCCTCCTGCCACATTCAGCACCTGCTTCCTTTGAAGCACCTTTTCTTTCTGTGCTTGGTGTGAGGCTTGGACCTGTCTCACTGCAGCCATCTTGTTTAATCTAAACAGTAAATAACAGTGTAAACTTCATACAACATACCTAGTATCCATTTCATAGAAATGATATCTTCACATTGTAGGTTAAAAAGGCCAGCCTAAAAGAACCATACAATAGTTTGCAAAAAAAAAAAAAAAAAAGGATTTCGGTTAGGGCAAATTAGTCCTAAGCAACTGTACATTAAATTAACAAATTTCTGAAAACCTGACTATCCTCAAAAAGTATGAAAAACTACCAAGGATGCTCCACTAAGGCTGCAATCCTAAGGGGCAGAGAGAGAGAAATGTGTTTTAACCATATTTAAAGCACTGATGAATCCACACTGCTACTGATTCCCATTGGCTAGGTTTCTCATTGGAAACAGTACAGGACAGACTTACACCAGGTCCCATGTGGGAATATCTCTCTCTCCAGTTTGGAGGCACTTCAAAGCTGCTGAGAAGACTGTAAATCCAAAGACTCAAAGTATTTCACAGTCCTCCCCTAACATGCCCACAAACAGCTTAAACATGTCCCGTTTGGCCCAACAACTGCAATAGGGCCAGAGTTATAGAGGTTTCTGTGGCAATGGAATCAGACATAAGTTCTAGCACTGGAGAAGCTCTGGTATATACGGCTCCCTCTAAGACACTTCCCAAGGGACAAAGAATTGCAACCTGAATACATTTTATTTAAACATTCATACAATTTCTATCCTACCCTTCAACAAAAACTCCCAAGGTAGGATTTTATCATCCATGATAAAAACTATAAAAACAAACAAACACAAGTACATTATAAACAAATGCAATTCCCCTCGACCCCGTCTGATATTCCAATATTTGTCATCACTTATCTACCTTTTGTTTCAAGGATTCTCGAGGCGAAGACGTCACATTTTCCTCAGACATGTCACAGGCGGGACGTTTTACAAGGAACAGTTTATTGGAAAGAGGGCGGTCTGGGCTCTCTCCAAGAATGCTGTCAATTCCATCATTCGTTTCAGTCTCATCAGAGGAAGAATCCGCTGCAGCGAATGAAGTTCTCGAGAACGCTTTATAAGACTCTGGAGCTTTCCTGAATGTAGCCGTCTCAATGCATGTAGCAGACCTACTGCTAGGGGAAGGCTGTGACGGCGCTTCTTTGGCGAGTCTGCGATATTTGGCGGGTGATCCAACAGACAACCTGTCCCACTCTATTTTACGCCTCCTGTTTGGCTGCATTGAGGCTGGATTACCTGAGCATGAAAAGAGAGAAAAGCCAGAGTTTTTAACACATACACGCTGCCCAAGCTTGCGCCGCACAGAGACCGCACATTTCTGTAACGTGTGAGAACAGCAAGGCGTTAGAAACATGACCTTTTAAAGTATGAACGTATACAGTGGTACCTTGGGTTACATACGCTTCAGGTTACAGACTCCGCTAACCCAGAGATAGCGCTTCAGGTTAAGAACTTTGCTTCAGGATGAGAACAGAAATGGTGCTCTGGCGGCGCGGCGGCAGCAGCAGGCCCCATTAGCTAAAGTGGTGCTTCAGGTTAAGAACAGTTTCACTTTAAGAACGGACCTCCGGAACGAATTAAGTACTTAACCCGAGGTACCACTGTACGTGTGTATGCAAAGACTGGAGAACAGACTGCCATGCTCCCCGACTTCCACCACAGTGTTTCTCAAGCGCACCCAGGCTAGTGCCCACAGAACTCAGGTACCTGTGCTTATCAAGGCCCTGATCCACCCATGTCACCAGCAACTCGCCAGGGCGCCTCTTTCTATCCTCCCTCCTTCAACACCCATTAAAGGAGGACCAGAGGAAGAGGCCGGAGCTCCCAGCCTGCCTTGAGTGGGAAGCAGGAATGCGGGCGAGGGCGGGGCAGTTGACCAAGAGGCTCGCCGGAGCCACAGCCCGCCTAACTCCCTGGAAGGATGAGAGAAGCCAGGAAGAGATTTCCTCAGGGGCTGCAAGCGGCCTCCCTCCTTGCCAAGCGCCGGCAGCCATTGGCTGCCTTTACCGGGGGGGGGCCGCCCCTTCGGAGACGAAGCCGCCTTCTTTCCCTCCCCGCGTCAGCCGCCCCCCCCCCTTGGGGGAACACTGCCCCACGCGCGGCTTCCACTTTTCAAACTAGGGCGGTTGGCAGTTACAAGGCCGCGCGGCGCCTCCCTCTCCCCCCGCCCCCCGCCCAGGGCCCCACTCTCGTCGCTCAGTACAGTACCGCGCGCGCCTCCTCTCGCTCGCAGCCGCCCTGTTCTTCACAAAGCTTAGGGGCGGCCACCGAACGCCGGGAGAAGGAGGGGGGGAGGTGTTGGACAGGCTCGTCTTCTGATTGGGTGAGAGGAGGGTCAGGGGGCGGGCGCGTGGCCGGGCGCAGGGGTCCGCGTGACTGAAGCGCAGGGCAACATAACGGGAAGAGGAAGCGAGCTTGGCGGGGGGAAGAAGCGCGCTTGCGCAACCTGTTCGGCAGCTGGTTAAAGTTGGGCGTGAATGGGGGCCGCGCCGGACGCAGGCTCTGTTCTTGTCGCCGGCTGGCGAAGACCCCGCAGAGAGAGGCCGTCCTCTCCAAAACGCCCAATTCCGTGGGGAATTGTGGCTGGTTGTGGTATTCAGACATTTCTATGCATTTCTATGCAAACAATTGGGATCCAAGCAATCCCATCTGCAGAGACACACTCATATAATTGAACCATCTTGCTAGGGCCCTACAGTGTGGAGTATGAAAATACAAGGCACTTTCCTAGTGATAGCTATATATGGCCCACACTTGATTTACCAGCATTGTAGAATTCTGACCTTTTTAACCGCTTGAAATGTTGTGAAGATGGTTTTTGAAATGTTATTGTTGAGTTTTACTGTGTACTGTATTGTACTGTACTGTGTACTGTATGGGATTGTGTGCTGCAACCCGCTAGGGGTCCCGATAGATGTAGAGCAGGCTATTATAAACAAAACAAATTTATGTTCAGTACCATAAACAGTGGCACATATAACTAGAGAAATAATTTATATGGAGACAGAACACCGTAGACCATTAAAAGGACCACATTCACAAAACGGCCTTTTTCAATAATTTATTTCAAATGTATAATTTGTTTTAAGCATTTGGAGCAATGAACCTGAAAAGTATATTGCAATGATGAGTTATGGAGCTTAAAGGGGGGAAATATAGCTATTCAATAAAGCCATGGAACTGCATAATAATCTATTTCTGTCATCTCTTTGGATGCTTCAGACTAGAAGCTTATACAAATTTAGATGTAAGCCCCACTGAACTGAATGACACTTATTTTTCAGTACACAAGTCTTAAGATTGCACTGCAAGACTTGCCCCTGCCCCCCCCAAACTCCAGCAAGCAAAATTATTAATGCCCAAAGGATAGAACACGATAGATGCAAATATGCTTCAAAACTTAGTTTTTTAAAAAAATATCAAGTTCTGAAAATACATAAAATACAAAATATGCTACAAAATATTTCCAATATATTCATTAATAGCTTCAAAAGGTAAACACTGTCAGTGAATAAATAGTTTTATAATAATACCATTAGCTTACCAGCAAACTTAAACCCCCCAAATCACCAATACAGCATTTATATTGTCTATACACCCATCCCTTTGAACCACCTACCATTAGGAGGTAAATAATGCAGTTTTGCTGAAGAAGCAAAAGGTTGTTGCTACATGAAACAAGTACCAAGTCTATCAGCTAGAGTAATCTTGGATTTAGGACTGCTTAAATCTCTATAGTATTGAAATATGTCTCATTCACATGATTTTGTGAAATTTGGGCTACAATATTAATACCTGGTATTATGTCCTATTGAACTCAGTGGAACTTTCTTCTGAATAAGCATGCATAGGACTGCATTGTTAGTGTGAGTTACAGTGGTACCTCGGGTTAAGTACTTAATTCATTCCGGAGGTCCGTACCTAACCTGAAACTGTTATTAACCTGAAGCACCACTTTAGCTAATGGGGCCTCTTGCTGCTGCCGCGCCGTCGGACCCTAATTTCTGTTCTCATCCTGAAGCAAAGTTCTTAACCTGAAGCAGTATTTTTGGGTTAGCAGAGTGTGTAACCTGAAGCATATTGTAACCTGAAGCGTATGTAACCCGAGGTACCACTGTACTGTATTCTGAATTATATTTCTAAGAAATGTACAAACTAGACAGTCCTGCAAAATGTATATTATTTTAGCTGCTATAGATGCATTTTAAATTTAGAGCAATCAGAACTCTGACCAGTTTTGTCTGCTTGGATGCAAAGCACGACATCAGTTCTGTATATTGCATCACACTAGGGTAACCTATGTTCAAACCTCCTTATCTATGAAGTTCACTGAGGTGACTTTGAGCCAGTCATCATCCCTCAATGATAAAAAATAGGGGAAGAAGCATGTGTGCTGTCTTGAGTAATTGGATATACATGTAAGAAATGAATAAATAAAATCTAAATACAAATAGCATTCTGACCATAGCATTTCCTTAAGCAAGTAACTTCAGTCTTCATGTTGTAAAGAAGAATTCTCTTGCCATGTCAGAGGAGTTTTGTGTAAAATAAAAAGACAATGATAAAACCATGAGCAAGAGAAGACGCCCCCCAAAGCATTTTATTCATAGTGCAGGCAAGCACTATAAATGTACCATAAAATTCAGTTTATACAATGGCTAGAGAAGGATGCTTTTCCCTCTTGTTCTGTTCTGTGTTTCACTTTGGCTGCAGCCTTTGGTTTCAAGAGAGCTGTGTCTACCAAAATACATTTCAATCACAGCCATAAAGCTGTGAATACAATCTTCTTGACACTAATCACCTCAAGTTGATGCTCTCCCCATCCTATCCATATCTTATATAGCTACCCAATGTAACTTCAAAAAATGCATTGTGCTTTTGTTTCTACTGCCAATAAAGTTTAATCTTCTGCAAACTGCATGGATGATGATTTAGTTCTGCATGGATGATGATTTAGTTACATCAAATCTTCAAAGAGTTCACAAGTATTTATCTTATTTTCTTCATACAATAAAAATCGTTCCATCATCTTTTTCTTTTTATCGTTGATTTTTATTTCTTTCACCCCTGCTGAAAGAAAGCGCAAATAAGCAATGTAATATAGTGACATTGCAAATAATGTATACAATCACTAATTACTGAGGTAAAAGTTATTTTGAATAAGCTATAGAATGTTGATTTTCTTTGAGTTAACCTGAAGGAATTGCTGAAAAGTTGCTTATACTTAGGAGGGGCTAACCTGTGGCCCTCCAGAAGTTGTTTACAGCCTCTTGTCCATTACTAATTCCAGGCACTTTTTCAGATCCTCAACTCTTGGGTCTAATGTAAAGGAGAGATAGAGGTGGATGTCATCGGCATACTCATGACGCCATTGCCCAATCCCTGGATGATCTATCCCACACATTTCATGTTATACAGCAGGAGAGACTGCTGCTAAGGAATCCATTTCCCCCCAAGAGTTGATTCATTTTTTAAAAAAACCTGAGGGCTGCTACAAAATCGAAACTATTGCAGAATAACTGAAGTATGATGACAACATGAAACCCATCTATCACATCCTAAATGATACCAAAATGGTGTTAATTACATGTCACATAATTTAGCTCCAACAGTCCAGGTCACAGTATAATTTTGAAGTTGCCTATTTTTGTTTTAATTGAACTTGCTTCCCCATGTGCTTGGAACTATCCTAGAACCCTTGCATGATACCACTTCTCTTACTCTTTCAAATCCTTCCTATAAGCCCACTTTTCCCATAAAGCCTTTGACACAACTATTTAGTTCCCAAGCCTTAATGAAATACTCCCACTACGCCTAAGCATCTGAAACAGCCGCATATTCCTTCCCTGTTTACCCTTCATCCACTTCCCTCACCTTTCTCTTGTCTGCCCTGTGGCCAATTTTAGACTGTCAGGTTTTCAGGACAGGGATCATCTTGCCATGAAAATTGATGAAATAATAATATTTGTATTATTGTTATTATATACTTCATAAATGTTCCTAATTTCCCTCAAAGAATATTTAAAAGTTACCTTGTTACCTTGTGAAGAACAGGCAGCACCACAGCTTTCCGTATTTGTATTTGATGGAGTCGTTTTATTTAAAGAACCAGTTATTTCTAGTGGCTCCTTATTAGAGTCCATATTTTTTGTTGAGAAGACACTGCTATATTCTGAATCATTTGCCAGAGGCTTTGTGGGAGAAACATTTTCTAGATATTGAGAGTTGTTGCTTGGTGGCTGGCAGGCAGCAGCAGCATCTGTAGGGTCCCACGAAAAGTTACTTGATTCATCTGACTCGCAAGGGACCCGTAATATCTGCCCAGAGTATGTTTCAGGAGACATGGCGCTCATCAAAGGTGGCAACAAATCTCCACAGTTCAAAGACCCGGGATTCGCTTCATTTGAGAAACCAAAATGAAGGGGGCTGGCTGACTCATCGTTTTCTTCTGGAGTATTCATGGAGAGTCCATGGTATCTGCTCCACTCGGGCATTTTCTGACACTGTATTTGATGATCTGCCATTTCGATTATTTCATGCACCTGTTTTTTTAACAGCAACGTTAAAACAGCTCATTCAGATTTTCCTCACTAAAAAAATGCAACTGCTTCCTTCAACATTTAGGGACACACACTCTTAAGTAAGCAGGGAGGGGAAGTAAGTACTGTACTAAGAAAATGAAAGGGGTGGGACTTTGCCTGCTGGCTCCACTCATGACACTGCCTGTCCTGCTGGCCTCATCTCCAGCATACATCCACTGTATAGTAAGGGATGCCCACCAACACACAGGAGCCCCAGTTGTGTGAAAGGCCTCCAACTGCATGTGTGTAGGTGACCCTTTGCAGATGTCCAGACAAACACAAAGATCAGAGGCGTAGGAGCAGCAGGTCAGAAGTGAGGCCAAGGGGTTGCAATCTCAACCCGCTCCATGTGTGATCCCTCAATCCCCATCCCCACCCCATTCATGAAGAGGGATATGGTTTACAGTGGTACCTCGGGTTACATACGCTTCAGGTTACATACGCTTCAGGTTACAGACTCCGCTAACCCAGAAATAGTACCTCGGGTTAAGAACTTTGCTTCAGGTAAGAACAGTTTCAGGTTAAGAATGGACCTCCGGAACGAATTAAGTACTTAA